AACCTAAGACTTTGGGATGGTGAAGAAAAAACCTAAAATATTTGTCATTCATTTATAGTTTTTTTAACTCTGTGGCTTACTGACGAAGTAACATGAAATTTGTTGATGGAGAAGAAACATATTGAATATATTTACATCTAATTTACCATACATCAATGTGAAAAAGGTAAATATAAATAAGTTTGAGTTTCATTATTAAATTTTTATTTTTACCTATATTATATAAAATATATGTAATGAACTATAGTCTTTTATCTTTGTTTTTTAGTGGGGAAAAACCTAAAATTTTATATTTGATTTGAAAAATAAAATATAATTAATTTTTTACACCTACAATAGTCTATTATGTTTGTTACTTAGTGATAAAAAACCTAATACTTTGGGATGGTGAAGAAAAAACCTAAAATATTTGTCATTCATTCAAAGTCTTTTAACCATGTGACTTACTGACGAAGAAACATGAAATTTGGTGATGGAGAAGAAACATATTAAATATATTTACATCTAATTTACCATAATTCAATGTGAAAAAGGTAAATATAAATAAGTTTGAGCTTCATTATTTAATTTTAATTTTTACCTATATTATATAAAATATATGTCATGGACTATAGTCTTTTATCTTTGTTTTTTATTGGGGAAAAACCTAAAATTTTATGTTGGATTTGCAAAATAAAATATAATTAAATTTTTACACCTATTATAGTCTATTATGTACGGTGCTTAGTGATAAAAAAAAACCTAAGACTTTGGGATGGTGAAGAAAAAACCTAAAATATTTGTCATTCATTTATAGTTTTTTAACTCTGTGGCTTACTGACGAAGAAACATGAAATTTGGTGATGTAGAAGAAACATATTGAATATATTTACATCTAATTTACCATACATCAATGTGAAAAAGGTAAATATAAATAAGTTTGAGCTTCATTATTAAATTTTTATTTTTACCTATATTATATAAAATATATGTAATGGACTATAGTCTTTTATCTTTGTTTTTTAGTGGGGAAAAACCTAAAATTTTATATTTGATTTAAAAAATAAAAGATAATTAATTTTTTACACCTACAATAGTCTATTATGTTTGTTACTTATAGATAAAAAAAAACCTAATACTTTGGGATGTTGAAGAAAAAACCTAAAATATTTGTCATTCATTCAAAGTCTTTTAACTATGTGACTTACTTACGAAGAAACATGAAATTTTGTGATGGAGAAGAAACATATTAAATATATTTACATCTAATTTACCATAATTAAATGTGAAAAAGTTAAATATAAATACGTTTGAGCTTCATTATTTAATTTTTATTTTTACCTATATTATATAAAATATATGTCATGGACTTTAGTCTTTTATCTTTGTTTTTTAGTGGGGAAAAACCTAAATTTTTATGTTTGATTTGAAAAATAAAATATAATTATCTTTTTACACCTACAATAGTCTATTATGTATGGTACTTAGTGATAAAAAAACCTAATACTTTGGGATGGTGAAGAAAAAACCTAAAATATTTGCCATTCATTTAAAGTTTTTTAACTTTGTGGCTTACTGACGAAGAAACATGAAATTTGGTGATAGAGAAGAAACATATTGAATATATTTACATCTAATTTACCATACATCAATGTGAAAAAGGTAAATATAAATAAGTTTGAACTTAATTATTTAATTTTAATTTTAACTTATATTATATAAAATATATGTCATGGACTATAGTCTATTATCTTTGTTTTTTAGTGGGAAAAACCTAAACTTTTATATTGGATTTGAAAAATAAAATATAATTAATTTTGTACACCTACAATAGTCTATTATGTTTGTACTTAGTGATAAAAAAAACTTAATACTTTGAGATGGTGAAGAAAAAACCTAAAATATTTGTCATTCATTTAAAGTCTTTTAACTATGTGGCTTACTGACGAAGAAACATGAAATTTGGTGATGGAGAAGAAACATATTGAATATATTTACATCTAATTTACCATAATTCAATGTGAAAAAATTAAATATAAATACGTCTGAGCTTCATTATTTAATTTAAATTTTTACCTATATTATATAAAATATATGTCATGGACTATAGTCTTGTATCTTTGTATTTTAGTGGGGAAAAACCTAAAATTTTATGTTGGAGTTGCAAAATAAAAAAAATTAACTTTTTACACCTACTATAGTCTATTATGTACGGTACTTAGTGATAAAAAAACCTAAGACTTTGGGATGGTGAAGAAAAAACCTAAAATATTCGTCATTCATTTATAGTTTTTTTAACTCTGTGGCTTACTGACGAAGAAACATGAAATTTGGTGATGGAGAAGAAACATATTGAATATATTTACATCTAATTTACCATACATCAATGTGAAAAAGGTAAATATAAATAAGTTTGAGCTTCATTATTTAATTTTAATTTTTACCTATATTATATAAATCATATGTCATGGACTATAGTCTTTTATCTTTTTTTTTTAGTGGTGAAAAACCTAAAATTTTATGTTGGAGTTGCAAAATAAAATATAATTAACTTTTTACACCTACTATAGTCTATTATGTACGGTGCTTAGTGATAAAAAAACCTAAGACTTTGGGATGGTGAAGAAAAAACCTAAAATATTTGTCATTCATTTATAGTTTTTTAACTCTGTGCCTTACTGATAAAGAAACATGAAATTTGGTGATGGAGAAGAAACATATTGAATATATTTACATCTAATTTACCATAATTCAATGTGAAAAAGTTAAATATAAATACGTTTGAGCTTCATTATTTAATTTTAATTTTTACCTATATTATATAAAATATATGTCATGGACTATAATCTTTTATCTTTGTTTTTTAGTGGGAAAAACCTAAAATTTTATGTTGGATTTGAAAAATAAAATATAATTAATTTTTTACACCTACAATAGTCTATTATGTTTGGTACTTAGTGATAAAAAAACCTAATACATTTGGATGGTGAAGAAAAAACCTAAAATATTTGTTATTCATTTAAAGTCTTTTAACTATGTGGCTTACTGACGAAGAAACATGAAATTTGGTGATGGAGAAGAAATATATTGAATATATTTACATCTAATTTACCATAATTCAATGTGAAAAAGTTAAATATAAATACGTTTGAGCTTCATTATTTAATTTTAATTTTTACCTATATTATATAAAATATATGTCATGTACTATAGTCTTTTATCTTTGTTTTTTAGTGGGAAAAAATCTAAAATTTTATGTTGGAGTTTAAAAATAAAATATAATTAACTTTTTACACCTACTATAGTCTATTATGTACGGTACTTAGTGATAAAAAAAACCTAAGACTTTGGGATGGTGAAGAAAAAACCTAGAATATTTGTCATTCATTTATAGTTTTTTAACTCTGTGGCTTACTGACTAAGAAACATGAAATTTGGTGATGGAGAAGAAACATATTGAATATATTTACATCTAATTTACCATACATCAATGTGAAAAAGGTAAATATAAATAAGGTTGAGCTTAATTCTTAAATTGTAATTTTTACCTATATTATATAAAATATATGTCATGGACTATAATCTTTTATCTTTGTTTTTTAGTGGGAAAAAACCTAAAATTTTATGTTGGAGTTGCAAAATAAAATATAATTAACTTTTTACACCTACTATAGTTTATTATGTACGGTGCTTAGTGATAAAAAAAAAACCTAAGACTTTGGGATGGTGAAGAAAAAACCTAAAATATTTGTCATTCATTTATATATCTACATGTTGTATTCGAATTATGTTATAGTATGTAGTTGTCGTATTGTGCCTTTTGTTAAGGATTCAATTGTTTAAGTTAGCTTGTACTTTAACTTAAATTGTAATGAGTAATTGTTAAAAAGTCCATTAGTTTAGTATGTTAGTTTTCTTATAAATAGCATATTAGTCTCTCATCTTTTGTGTGGCAAATCCTAATTAGAGTGAAAAAGTTATTTGTTATTCTTGAGTACTTGCAATCTGATTCAAAGAGAAAGTAAAGAATAACAGTTTATAAACAATCCTTGTTATTATTCTTGTTTTTACATTAACCATAACTTTTATGTGTTCCTTGATCATAAAAAAAAAACCATTTATACTTTGTTTTAAAATATCATTTTTCACCGCAAATAAAAAAAAATATTTAAAAAAAAAAAACATTTTTCTAAAGCCAAAACATAAATGCCTAAAGTTAGTGGCTTTTATTTTTGATAAATCGAAGAAAAAAAATGTATCTTTTTAAAAATAAGTAGAGTTTAATATAACTCCTTAGAAATGCATCAGATGCAAAGATATTGAAGTAGACGAGTACTAGATGTATTAGAAGAGAATGTCTATCTTTGCATATGATCAAAAAGTGAACGTTATAGCTTAACTTAGCAAGTTTGAAAAAATCTATAGAAGTGGTCCAGCACTTCCATCTTTGTAAAAAAATAAAACATTCCTTCTATTTTTACTATTTTTAGCACTTACATTTTATTTTGCTATCCCCTTTAGACACACCCAAAACCTTGTCTGAATTTGCATAAATCAAAATGATATAATGCGCTATCGCAGTCGCAATGTCAATCAAACATTGAAAATGAGAACCTGGCCTACAGCATTTGTTCCGAGCTGGAAGATTGTTTTGCATGGTGAATAGTTCTATCATGTAATTGAGTTCTATCAGTTACATCTGAATCAAAAAAAGAAAAAATAACAAAAAAGGAATTTAACAAAATAAAAATTAGAGTACAAAATTAACAGAAGGAAAAACTTGACGTGGTGTTCCTGCTGACTATGCCTCGTTGAGACCTTAATGGTACAATTCTACTACAACCCTTCTCTTTGCTTCTAAATCTTTTTCATTTTTTCTCTCTAAAGACACTTTTTTCCATTTTTTTTTTTTTCAGTTGGCCATTGCCATTTTCTTCCCATATACAGATACAAGAATGACTACAACATCTCTATGTTCATGGATTTTCACTGTCAAAAACTTGTATACCTCCTTTTTTGGCTCAATATATCACAACACGAATCAGGCCTGGCTGTGGTTCTGTGAAATCAAGACCCTCTTCTTCAAGTAGGTAACGCTGTACAGCTATTGGAAGTCTTGCAGGAGTGCGGGAACCTCTGGTATGATGACCGGTACCAACACAGATATAAACCTGCAAACGCTGCTCCGCAGCTCTGGCTGTGCTTCTTAACACACTCAGTTCGTGTTTCAGCACGTGAATCGCTTCACTTACATGGAGCCCGTGTAGGTCTATCATTCTCTCATGTCCTCTACCATTAACTTGCATCTCTGGACCAACCGGATTCCTGAAAAATCAACACTCACAGTGACTACAGCAGTATCCAACATAAGGTAGTGTTTGCCATGCGGACAGAACAGCACTGCCTGTTAGTTCATAATACAAACACGGGCACGACAATGGTACAATGAAACCGATAACATTTTGTAAAAATATAATAATTGAATGTAACAACTTATGTCAGCATCAGACACTGAAGCTTGTCGGACACCAGACCTGCCTTCAATCTGAAGTACCAGGGCGAAATAGATAATATGCACATGTTTATAAATGGGAGGCATCTCTCACCTTAAAAGCCGATTTTATAGGATGGCATTAGGCTCAACCCAAATTTTAAGAGTACCAAACATAAAACAAAACTTGTGCCATTTTTTATCCCTTGTTAACCTGTTTGTTAAATGTTAGCTTAAAAACCAACCTAAATAACAAACAAGCGTTTTTCAACAGGCTCGGTTACATAGATCAATCGACTATCAGGTCCTGTTTTATATTATTAGGTAAGGATAGACCATTTACACCTAAATCAATCTTGGCCTATAGTTGTTGGTACAGGAATCAGCAAAAAAAACATGTGAATAGGAAAAGACATAAGTTAAAGGTAAAAAAATAAAAGAAAAAGAAAAAAAAGTACAGCCACTGTGAAAAGAAATTCTCATTAAATCATATTATTATATGCAGGTTGTGTGGGGGCAGAAAAAAGTGTTGTTAAAACTTAAATATTGACTGGAACAGACAGTCTGAGCAGTTCAATTTCAACCAAAGTGATGGTCAGTGGACCAATAAAAAACAATCTCATAAATAGTCAAATTCTAGTTGAATTGGCCAATTCATCGGTTGAACAGCCAACCATTATTGAAAAAATACTGTGTTTCAAATTTGATAAACGTTTGAATAACTTTTATATTTGATTTAAATTATTCCCATGAAGCCGTCCTAACTTGAGTATTCAAGCATTTGATAAAATTGGTTGAACCTCAACTGAAAGTCTTGCCAATTCCTTTTCTAGATTGGCTTAAATAATGTTGGAAAATATATAGCATCATTCTCATTATAATATGATACAGTTTTTGCTTTGACCAATAGTCGCATGGATAGGAAGAGTGGATGGCAATGAGGAACAACAAACCTTTGGCGGTAAATAGAATCTTGAGCCTTCCCATGAGCTTCTTTCATATGCATGTTATGCAGTTGCCCTTTAGCACTTAGCTCCTTTGCAAGGGCTTTATTGCCAATAAGGTAAGCTTGCCGTGCCTGTTTTAAAATTATGAACAAATAAATAAAAGTTACACAAATTAGAGCATGTCCTGCAAAATCCTCTTGTTACACCTCATCCCAATCTAGTAGTAGGTAGAGATTCGTGGTTGAAACTCAAGTAACAAAAATGTTAGATTCCATTCCACTGGTGCGAAAATCTAAGGTTGAAAAATAGAGCCTGTTTGGATTGACTTAATTGAACTTGTCTACTGGTACAAGCACACCAATGAGACAGTTTGGGATAGCTTATGGAAACAGTTTATAGATACCAAGACAATTTGACTTTATCTTATGTTGTTATAAAAATAACTTATACTTAAGCACTTGTGTTATAAGCACTTAATTAAGCCTGGAAATTTAGGGAAAGAAGATTAGTATGAGTCAACCATGAAGTGTGTAGCCAAAATCATGACACTATATTCTCATAAAAATACCCACCAACTTCTCTGCAGCATGAATCAAAGACCCACCTGCTCAAAATATGCATTACGTAAGCGTGCATGATCACGAGCCTCCTCCCGGAATTCAGAATACATATTTGCTGTCATTCAAATTAGTTAAAGAAACCAGAATAAAAGGAACTTGCCTCAAAATGGAAACATATAAATATAAATATTTACCAACAGCGTCACCAGTTTCAAGCCAGACAGGAGCTGGCCGGCCAGAACCACGGTTTTGAAACCTATCCCCAAGGTTAGTTCTCCCCTGTCCGCCATTGTAGGCACTAGCAAGAACATTTAAACTCCTACTTGATCCAGTGGAAGCATCACCAGAACCATTTCTATCATACTTCCATATTCCAGAATCCTGAGAAGCCAATTTCCTGACAGCTGAAGCAAAGTCAGTAGCACCTCTAGATGGAAAAGAAGAGCCAGATTTGAACATGAGCAAGTCTTTGCCACTCGGTATGTAAGGACTGCCACTTTGTTGAACATTATCTCCTGCATATTTTGCAGAAGTAGTCTGGCCGTTTGTTGAAGCAAGTGCTGGAAAGTCCATTCCAGTCAGATTGGGAGATGACAGAGTCTTTGGAGTTGGGTTCTGGATGAAATTACTATCAACTTGAATCTACAAATGTGGAGAAAAAAGTAGATATAGTAAACATAAATGTCCCCAGTTAAGAAGTATCCCAGAGAAATGAAAGCATCCACAAAAGTAACAATAAGATCCGTAAAATGAAAAAGAAAAGATTGAGACATGCTTGTACTACAATATCATAAAACAAGAAATGATTATACATCCAAAAAATGCAAACAAAATTTTAATAGTCCCAATCTCCTGATAAGTTCCTATCAGGTCCCTTGTTAGCATGACGCAAAGGGTATAAGGATTCAGGAAACCGGCTGGACTGCGTTGGAATCATCTTACAACTTTATGGGATGCAGGAAATTTCCCTGCCAAAACAAGCCACAAGTATTGCTCTACACGTTTAGCTTCCATATATTCAAATTTAATATTGTATCAAAACATATCGCAAGATGTGCATTTCCAACAAATAATTGCATCACAGCATAATTTATTAAAAACCAAAATGTAACCACAGGTTAGTTGGTACGTGAAAATCGAACCCACCTCTAACTGAGTGAGCATCTCAATGGTCAAATGTAAATCACATCCATTGGCAAAGTAAACTTCAGCAAGGCTTTCTGACGCAAAACCAGGGAATAGAGAAGCTAAAAAGTCCAAAGGGTTAAAATCGGTCTCGTCCACAATAGCATTCTCAGTCAAAACATCATTTATAAATCCATGTCTAGCATTGTCATCATAAGCAAGTGCCTCTTGACTGCTGCTATGCAGGTTGTTATTCCCAACCGGTCTATCCCAAGGCTTTGCAAATGAATTCAAAAAGCTTGCTGAAGATGGTTCTTCCCGGTAGGTTGAATTGGAAAACCGTAACTTATCGGCAATGGTATTTCCATTAAGGAGCTGTTGAGATAATTCTTGCTGCTCATTTAGTATATATCTACTTCCATTGGTAGAAGGAAACATTGAGGACTCATTTTCGTCGTGTATGGATAAGCCTGCTAAAGAGAGGTTGTTAAGACCTTGAGGTTCTTCTTCTTCCATGATGACTTTGAAATCAGGGGTGATATCATCCGGAAGTTGGCAACGCCAGTAATTGTGGGCCTCGTCATCAGAATTATTAGAAACGGATGATTCTGATCTATCTAAAACTGCTTTCCCAAGAGAACCAGCCGTTGTTAGCCTTGCTGTCGCATCAACCGAGCTAGTACTTCCAGATGGCAATGATCTGAGTGAAAAAGGAATAAACTCTGCCGCATTTGGATTCAAAGCAGCCTTGTTTGGAGAGCCCAGCTTTGTGTCTGTCGGAGACCCTTTCTTTGATAAACTCATTATTAATTAGCCTATAATATGAACAAAATCACTAAAACACAGATAAACTTCAAAAACAGCAAAAGAAAGTTCCAAACAGCTTCATCCAAACCCTGCAGAATAATTCAATTCAATCATACTCATAGATCAATCGTATCCGATATCACAAAATACATACATATGAAAAAGAAAAAAAAAAAAACTCCACATTGAATTCCATCTAATCCGGCTCCGCCACTTGGAATTGCCGAATTAAAAGAGCAGCGGAACATGTAGAAACGAGACGTAAATAAGTTGATTATCCCGAAAGCAACTATAAGCAGCCGTTTTCATACTTCTAACTCGGAATTCAATCCCATAAGCTAAATTGAACAATCGCGGAACAAAGTATGAGTTACAACACAACTTTAACAGATCTAATGATTACAAAAAATGCACTTGAGAACACTAACCAATTTCAGAACTAGTAAAAAAAAATTAAAAAACTTCAGGATAAGGTTAAAACCCTAAATTTTTCAGAAACAAGAAATTAAACAGTTTCCAAGATGAACTTCACAATTGAATTCATAGCTGAACAGTAACTAACTACATAAAAATCCAAACTTAAAAAATTTCCAAAATCCCAATTTCACAGAAACAACAAAAACAAAAAGTACAAACACCAAAGTAAACAAAAAAGAAAATGAAAACTAACAAATAACAAAACCTTCAATTATGAAAGCCACAAAAATTTCCTAGATCTTAAATAATTCAGCTCCCAAGATTTAAAAAAAAAAAAAGTCAAATTAACCAAAATTGAATAAAATTACAGAAAAAATAAAAAACAAGATTTAACGAGATTAATAAGTGAAAGATCTGAAATTGAAAAGTGAAGCATGAAAATTATACCTTTACGAATCAAATCAAAGGGATCCATAAATGAAAACTGCATGAAATCAAAGAAGTGAAGAAAGATTATTAATATTTTTTCTGGGAATTGGAATAAGAACTAGCTTCAGTATTGTTATCTGAGTTATCAAGTTTTGATTTTTCTTTTTCTTTTTTTTGTTTCTCTCTCTCTCTGAAAATGAAAAAACCCTGTTAGGGTAATACTAACACCAGCACCACAAAAATTGTAAAGAGGACACCCAACCTTTCGCCACTCGATTTGACCTCTTTCTCTCTCTACAAACTTTCTCTCTCTACACTCTCATAGTGTGTGTCTAATGTTTCTATTTCATTAATTAATTTGCATGATTGGGATTTGGGTACAAAAATTTCTTGCATAATGTTTTTAAGAAAAATATTAGTGCTTTACTTTATCTTTTTGACTTGGAATAATACTATTTATTAGGTAATTTTAACTTGTACTTTAGAGCACATGTTAAAAAATTTAATATTTGAAAAAAATAATAAAATTACTTTTTTAGAGAAAAAAAATTATACTAATACACTTTATATTATCAATAAATAATTAATATTATTTTCTTTATTATATTCTTAAAAATTTATTATTCTCCTTTCTTTTAATTATATAAATTTATCTTTCTTACATTATTATTGAAGGACAATTTAGTAAAAGCATTCATATTTTTTATTTTTATACCACAATTATTATTTTTTTTAATACGTGTGAAAAGTCAAAAACGACTTATAATAAAAAAATAGGAGGAGTATTAATTATAAATTTATATTAATTTCATTCTTTACAATATGTATTTATTTATTTGAACACAATTTATTATTACTTATATTTATTTATTTATTTTTATAAACAATTAATTATTACTTTTAATAAATCAATATATCTGATGCGTGTAAAATCAGGGATTGATTTTATAAAGAAATGTTTGTGGACGGGTTTGATTCGGTTTTGAGAGAATTTGATGTTCAAATCGATAAAAAATATATAGATTAATTTGAATTGAATTTTCACTTTTTGTCGATAAAACTCAAACCGAGCCAAATCAAAAAATAACGAATTAGTTTGGGTTGGATTGATTGAATACATTAGAAAAAGTATTTTAAATTTTTGTTTGAAAATTTATAATTTATATCGACTAATTTTTTATAATATAAAAATTTTAATTTTTTTTCTTTTTTTGTAAAGGTTGTAAATGTCATAAATAAAGTTTTATTTTCTTCTTTTTTAAAGTTGAATATTTTATACTAATTTATCTATACAATATATAAAAGAAATACTTTGTTTTGGTGTGACCTATTTTTCTATCATTTTTATCCTTATATTATTGTATAATTTATTTATTAACTTTCTATTATTAATTTCCATATAACTTATTATTATTAACTTTCACATAACTTTTTATTATTAACTTCCACATATTATATTTTTTTTAAAATTATTTTAACAAAAAATATCGTTTATCTTTTTATGTGTATTAAAAAAGTGGACAGACGGACACGATTGTCCGTGACACTAATATGATAATAATATAAATTATAGAAATTAATATGAAATTGGTTCAGATACACAAGATTATAGATAGAATTTTTAAAATCTGTTGCCTGAACTAACTAATATCGAATTTCATTAGTTTGATTCAATTTTTGTCCGAATTAAAAAAATATTCAATTCAAACACCATAATTTAATTTGAATTCTGATTTGATTCAAATCAAATCAAATCAATGAAAACTCTGGTTGGAGCTTAAATTAAAATTATCATTTCAATAAGTACTATTAGATAATATTTATTGTTTATATGAAGTAATACATGGGTGAAAATAGGTTAATAGAGGACTAAACCTATCTTACATTGGCTCAAGCTATGTTAGATTTTTCTAAAGGAAAATATTAACTAGTATTTCAAAAGCACTCTTTAATTAATGCTTTAAAATAATAAGTTTTTATTAAACAAATGTGCGTATTTAATGTATGATAAATTGGAATGATTAATTTTTCTATAAAATGTGTTTTTTATTTATAATCTTTAAAAAAGTGTCTATGGCAAATTCGTTAGTAAAAAAAATTTTAAATAAAAAACTCTAATTTTTTATAAATATATCTAGTTAAAAAATTACTAAGTTATAGATTGTAAAAAAAATTTAAATTTATCGGTACAATCTATTTAAATAAATATTAATAATTTTATTATCATTATTATTATTGTTATATGGTGTTTGTATTTTAAATTAAAATACAAAAATAAAATTTAGTTGTCTAGAAGAACTTATAAAAATAAGTTAAAAAAATATTTTGAACATCATAAATTCTCTCAAATAAATAATATCACAAAATTTATGTTAACAGATAAATTTGAATAAATCAATACAAATAACATTTAGTCTAATTAATTTTTTAATTTGTTATTCTATTTTAACATTAATTGAAATGTTTATTTATAAATATTTAAATAAAATAGTTTTTTTAGATTAATAGATCAATAAGACCTTCAAAATGGTCACATTCACGTCTAAAAATGAATTTCTGATAAATTACAAGTCAAACTTAAATTTTAAAAATTTTAACGAATCAAACTCAAACTTAACAAAATCTAACTCGAAACAATTTATTCACATCGTTAATAATACATCATCATATATAAAAGTAATGTGATTTAATTTGTTTTCTTATTAATCATCTCAATTAATAACACGTAAAAAATATTCATTTTAAAGATATACTACTTCTTCTCATATTATAAATAATTTTTAATTTTTAAATTTATTGAATAATTAATATATTTGATCTATATATAAATTAATATATTAATTTTATAATAAATTTAAAAAGTAAAATTTATTTATAATATTGAAATGAGGGTGTAGATTCGAATTTACCACATGTCATTTATTTATCCTTGAAAAATAAATTTTAACCATTAAAGTGCCACACAAAAAATGTAATGTGTTTGTTTATGATAAGTATATTCCTATGATAAAAGAATATTCAAGTATATAAGTATTAAAGTATATATTAGTGTGAAACCAAAATCTAAAATGTAATAAATTGAAATTAAGTAAATTGGTTTAATTTTTGTATGTTTGAGTTTAAAATTAGTCAAATTATATAAATTAAACATCTATTAGTTCGAAATGATTACCTATTTAAAATCGAACATACAAAATTAAATACAAGTTATTAAGTTTTTTTTTCTTTTGCTTTGCATTGAATTCAATACATGTTTTACTGGTTTGTCATAAATATTTCATGTCTTTTATTATAAAAAATTTCATGAAATTTACTTGGCATTGAAAAATATAATTGTTATAATAAATTTATTTAAAAATTGTGTTCTGTTACATTTTTATCTCTATTAACAATAGTTATTAGTTGTAATTGAGTAAAATAACTTACATCTTACAATGATAAATTAAAAATAAGTACTATGCAAAGAAATCAATATACACTTTGAATTTTAGAAGGTTACAATTTTACTCCAAAAAAAACACTTAGAAACGACTTTTTTTAAAATAACACTCCATTATTTTCTTTCATTTTCCATGCCTCTTGCAATAAAGAAACGTGTAACAACTAGCAACGCTAGACATTCAATAATATTTTATATGAACTTCCAAGGCTAACACATTAATATTCAACTTGTTTATATATATATATATATATATATATATATATATATATATATATATATATATATATATATATATATATATATATATATATATATATATATATATATATATATATATATATATATATATATATATATATATATATATATATATATATATATATATATATATATATATATATATATATATATATATATATATATATATATATATATATATATATATATATATATATATCAAATAACACTAATGTGTCAAACTTAATAAAAAAACACCTCTGAAATATTGTATATCATATATTCTTGAAAAAAAATATTTGAATTTTCTTCTTACGCACTTCATCTATATGAGTTTCATGTTTGATAGGATTGTATATTTTTCTGATTGTATATCTGAAAACTCTGATATTAGGGGTTGTAAAACGCGTATGGCAGTCATGTCTATTATTATGCCCATAGTTTTCACAGGGCAAATCAAGATTTTATAAGC